AGTTAGTTCTTGTGATTACTATTACTATTATCAATAATGTCATAGGTATTATTCTTTGCATCGTTATGATCAATATTATAAGTAATTTGTAATTCGGGTTGAATGATGCATAAAATTTTTTTGACTTCCTTTCAAACAAATGCCTAAATTGGTATCGTTATAATGTATAGTTCTTGTAATAATTATTGTAATCATTGCTATTAATTCTACTAGTCGTTGATTTATTCAGCAACTAATGCAACTTCTTCCGACTGAATTTTTAATTTTTTGATGACAAGACTGTTTATTTCAGTTTTACGTTTTCGTATCGTTTACTGGTGATGTTCATTAATTTTATATTGTTTGTGGATGAGTTGATGTATCTGAAAACAACACAGCAAAGAATCTAACAGGGTTTATATTATTTTATCCATTGTTATCCCTTGTCTTAGCATTCATTTTTCCCTTCTATCTTTCAACTGAAGCTTCTTTATTGTCTATTCTTGCCTACTTATAGGTTGAATTGGTAATTAGAGCATCTTTCCGGTAATTATTTTTACGATTATTGTATGAATTCGACCAATGAATAATAAACAAACAAAAAAATTACATTGGTTCTTGTGACATTGTCTCATTTTGCCGCAACAGTGTTGCTGAAAATTTCGCCAATTTGTTCAAACGATAGTTGAGAGAATCTATGGTTCGTGAGCATATCGAAATGGGGAAGAAATCACTTCAATTATTTTTAATTTCAATATTACTTTGGTCAAAAAGAAATGACTCCGATTATCTGCTGGGTACATTTGTATGCAGAGGTTTTCATTGCACATGATGATTTGCATACTAAATTTGGCATTTATTTATTTATTCAGTTATCAACATTCGTTGCGAATAAAAGCCTCATTAATAATATCACAAGTTTTACTGCATATCACATTCTGCATTCAATTTTAACCGATCGGCATATGTCTCGCACATAACTTATAAAATGGAATGATATCGTTTTCAGTAGTAAAGTAATTTCTACATTTGAAGGGCATTATTATTTCATCAAAACGATAATATGTGAGTTGTTTGAAAATACTTTTTTTAAGGAATCAATTTGTATTTCGTAGTTTGACTATCAATGGTTATATTCATAGCAGTTCCGATGATACATGTTCAACAATTATGTATTGTATGCTTTGTTAATGCTTGAACGTTAGTGGTAAACAGGCATATGTACAGTGGAATTCAATTGAATTCATACAATCATTTGGTTCGTAAACCGAAGCATGGTCTACCCGAAGCATATTGTAATCAATGCAAAATGAATGAATCCCTTCCAAACAACCCACATTATCAAAACACAAATTTCCATTCGTATAGCAACTGTTATCATATAACATATATAAGAAATGCGCTTCTTTACATGGCGGTTTCGAATCTCATTTTTCGTGTGCGTTTAAAGAAGTCTGAAAATTGTTACGTCCCATAATTACTGTAAAGATGACTGAACTGGTATTACATTTTATTCTCATAGATATCTTAACTAAAATGCAATGAACTGATAAGAGTAAAGCTGTTTGGGGCAGGAATGCATGTGCAATGATAAGATGCATATAATAATCAGAAATTGTTGAGATCAACTGCAAGCAGCTCCAGTAAACGTGCCATCAGTGTTTTCTTCGTACGAATACGTTCCACTTGATGATTGATTTTGGCCTTGAGATTCCTCAGACGCAACGAGGCGTGTACAAAGATGATCACGAGTGGAAATGCAAGCACAAACAAGACGACGATTACTGCACGAATCGCATAGATGAAGTAGTATGAGGCGAGTACAAAAGCAACAAGAGTTGCTAATGCATGCTCACGACGAGCCTTCAAATCCATAGCATATCAGAGTTCAGCCCGCATAATAATAAACATTCCCGCGGCTCGATCACAAGCTCAATTAAAAAAGTTGAAAACTTGGATTGGTCAAAACGTTGATCAGTTCACATTATTGTTTTGTAAAACTTTGGCGCTTCTTCGAAAGAGGCATCAGTTTAATTGAATACGTTGTGACCAATCAATCGTTCTGAGATCGGCCTTATGATTGGTCATTCTGTTCTTTCACGGATTTATCACAGAAAACGATGAGTACATAGATTTATTGTTGAGAGAGGAAAGAGTCATATTTTGAAAAAAGTCATACCTGTTCGATTGTGGGATTTGTCGAGACTGAGAAGAAGACAGCAGCCGAGAGCACAAAAATGGCAGATACACCGACGATAGTATCACTTGTATGAAATGCACTTGCAGCGATAATCAACACCAACATTAGCATCATATAGTTGGTTTGAAAATAAAGCAGGTTACTCACTAGACGATTGTTCCATCTGGGTAAATCACGGAAATTCGGTAGCTGAAGAAGAAGGAGATTAAAATGAACACAATTTACTCGCTTGATCATAATGCGAACTGTACTAGATTCTGCACAGAGTGAAGAGTGTAATTTATCTACGGAAAATAAGTGAAAACGAACAGAAGAAAACCTAAAGAAATACCTCGAAACGAGCTTTATTAGCAATGAATTCACTGAAACTTCTCAGTGGAGGAATCTCGAGATCGTTGAAAAGTTTCCAGTGTCCACTGTTGATTCCTGATGCATCATTAGCTTGATTGGTTGAAGTCATTGTTGCTGTTATTTTGTATGTTGTTCAACTCTTAGTTTGTTGACTGCTAGAATGGAAGGAATCAAATAGGTTTCCCTTGGCTTCAATTTATTTTTGATAACCGTTTGATAGAGAATAGATGCTGTGAATCGTTGGGTAAATAAGTCGACGGATGGATGAATTGATTCTTCTTGCGGATAAAATGTTTTATGCTGATAAATCCTTTCCTCGAGATCCTCTGTTCTCCTGAAAGTAAATTTATTCAGTAAGACGAGAACCATAACGGTTATTGATTGATATTTCAGAAAGTAATAACATAGTAACAGATGGAATAATAAAAACAGCTATGACAACAATGATAGTCATAAACGATTGCAAGAAACAGCATTCAAATCGGATTGGATCAAAGCACGAGTGAACAGTGAGGAGTTTTAAATTTCGTAATAACCCATTCCTTGGTGCTTCTTTGCTATGGTGGGTGGTTTTTTGAAAGCGTTGCCAGTCCACCTGGAACTGCAAAGCACAACGATTAGATGGTGCCCACCCATTCAGACTGAGGTTCAGACTTTGGCTTAAACTTAAGTCGTGACTTAAACTCAACGTCATTTTTTTACATGTCTATGATAACAATTGTTTTGTTTTGTTTTTGTCTAACTGCCTTCACGGTACATCTTGCATTGGTTTGTCGCTTTCACTTGTAAAGAAATAGTATTGGATCGTGAACGATGTGAAAACAAGTGAAAATTTGTTCATATTGTTCAATTGTGCTATTCAAGGGAACGTCTGAAAGTTGCTCATCATTTATTTTCTTCATTATCAGCAATCATTTAATTTATTCATAATAATCTTCGTCGGAAATAATTTCGTGCGATGATAGAGAGAGAGAAGGCAGAAAGTAGTGAGTAAATAAAGATGCATTGGATGAACGCGAGTGGGCAACTGAATTGGATTAGAGCACAAACAGCACTAGCGCAATTAGTTGACAGGTTTTGCGTGAGCAGATAGTGAAACGAGCAGATGGTGGATATTCTTAGTGAAATATGAATTATTATTTCGGTTGTGCTGGTTGTATTCGAAAAACCATTTTGTAAAATATATCATCCTTTCATTCTGTTTTAGTCATCAAAATTATTCGCTTATTTCATGCAGTCCATAATTTTTTTTTTGAGCAATGACTAGTGGGACTGCGGATGAGCCGGGGTGGGTCGAGTCATCCGGCCGAATCAAAAAAGTACTGAGCCGGACCAAGAATCACCCCATCACGCCGAATCTGTGTAAAAAAAACTCTTCGAAGTGTCAAATCAGTGCAAAAAAACCTTTTTAAATGCAATTTGTAAGCATGAGAGTCAGATTTCATGATGGAAAAGTGCACTAAAATGCCAAGAATTTTTTTTTGAGAACCTGGTTTTTAACCTCATCAACGGAGGAGGACAAGCTTTTTTGGCTTTTATGTTTTAAAATCGTTGGAAATCGTCATCAACAGGTTTGCGAACATTGTGATAGTGACCGACATTTTTAATTTCAGATTTTGATTACTAACCCCTGAACCAGGATGCAGAAGTTTCAGGCCTCTGTACTCGGATGTTGACAAAAATCATTTTTGAGAGGTGCTTGCTTCAGCTCGAGCATAATAATTTAGGACTGAAACCAAGATAAGAGATAATCAAAAATTATGTGTTTTTTCATCCAAAAAAATCACGACTGATATGTTTCTAAACATTTTTAATGTTCTTAACCTTAACGTTCACTGTTGATTCTTCATTATTTCTGACATTCGTGGACGGTTATTCATTTTTCATTCAAATGAACTGCTCATTTATTTCAATCAGTTTTGTTTTCGGTTTTCTTTTACGTTCAGTTTATTTTTCGCAACATAATCGATTACATTGTACGAAATAAATGCGTTATGTAAAGTCATAGTTTTTTATTCAAATGTTCATAATGGCAATGAGATGCAGTCCAGAAATACTGATAATAAAAGATTCAGTACGAACGAGACTACTTTTAGATCAGTAAGTCGGTCAGCAAACATTAGTTAGACAACAAAGCCAGTGTGATAGAATGCATGCTGAACGTTCGATGGAAATAACTGCAGCTCGGCATCACAATGTTCATACATCTCTCTGTAGCAGTTTCCATCAAAATTCAAGTACAGCAATCAAAAAACTGCGCTTGTCCATTCACGGGATTAAAATGCAATTGCTGTTCAACTCTACGGTATTTAAAACCCTTATAAACCATCATTTCGGCGCTAAGTTTCATTCCGGCACGTGTATATTGCCTTCATAAGTTTTTTTTAAACCGTGGCTTGGCGTTTTCACTTACCGTTTATTCCTACTTCAGTCTGACGATTCTTGTCTTCGTCAAGTCCATAGCTCAGGCCCAATTTTTCATAATCGAAGTTTTTCTTTCTTTTTTCTGGTTCTTCAATACTGCTTACGTTCATTCAATCTGATTGAAATATCGATCGCTAAGCAGAGACAGCCACTATCACAGGTAGTGGCCATATTGCTCCTCCAATGTTCACTATTGAAGTTGTGTTTCGTGGTCGCATTTTGAAGTGGTCTGTTGCAAGCGCAATATTTCGATGAGAATTTTTGATTGAAGTACTGCTGGGAAGAGGTGTTTTACGTAAGAAATGAATTTAGCGAGCGGCTGTAGCAAACAATCAGTGAACGTTTTGATGTAGAAAAAAAAGACAAATTCTTCACTTGTACAAAAATCAATAGGTATGACGTTCAAAACTGAAAATGTAATCAATCGCCTAGTCGTTTAAAAGGCCAACTAGAAGTGAGCTTATTAAAAAGCAAAACAGCTTCGCCTGACGTCGAAGCAAGTCGTTACTGACTTCCATCATAGACTTTCTTATGTGTTGCGTTTTTGTTTTTGAATGATACAACTATTCGATTTCGAGAACTTAGTACGAACGTACGTATTTTCGAAGATGTTAAACGATTCTTTCGAATTTTTCCTTGAGTAGTTCACTGCAGTCATCCACCGAGTTTAGCACAATTTCTTGTTGCGTGTAATTGTTGGACAAGTGAGGTTTCGCAGCGGCCGTTCTCATGGGCAAAACAATCACAGATCTCGGACGAGCCAAAACCTCAACCCACTGAACCGTAAGCCATGTCCATGGTGGGTCTAACTCAGGTCCAAGGTAAGATTTAACCTGAGCCCAGGGTAGGACTAAAACTTAGCGCAGGGCAAGCCGTAGCATAAGGCTAGGATAGGTCTGTCTAATTGTAAGTTCGGAATAAACCTCGGCACAAGTCTGCGATATGCCTCAGCCTAAACTAGGGTTTGCAAAATCCCGATGTTTTTTCAATCTCGGAATTGGGATTAAATCCCGGGATAATCCCAGGATCAAACAATTTTTGTAATATCGATGCGAGACATGTCCAAACACACTTTTTCGAACCAATATGTTCATTATCAATCAGAAAGGAATTAATTCAACAAGTTATTGAACAAATTCGAGAAACAAAATTATTCAAGTTAATATTTCATATAATAATGCTAATGACCATGATGCAAAGGCATACTGCATTTTCTATGCTAAAGCATCTTGTCATCTCGGGTCTAAGCTAATAACAGTACACTTGCATGTGAATATGAAATTCTTGATTCTCAAACACTTATTTGCAATGTTTCAAGTCCATTTTCTCTCAATGTTAACGTCAGTTGAATTCTGCCGTTTCGGAAATTTCGGTTTTTTACGAAAGAAATGCATCGCATGAATTACATCATTTGAATTTTGAGGAAATTAAAAGTTCAGAGTTTATCTAAAAAGTGAAAAAAAAAAAACATCCGCAGTGGATTTCTATCGAATCGTCGGGCACTTACATACTTAATAATTTCGATCAGAAATCATAGAAATGTACTTGATATTCAAGCTTATGATCCTTTTGAATGAAACAATTTCGTTCATTTCGACAATGAATTCTCGTTATGACTGATCTCAGTGAAAATATATGTACATTTCGATGGGTTGAAAATGATTCCAAATAGCGAAGTAAAGAGACTCGCAGTCCTTAGAACATGCAGTTGTATTAACAGATGGAATATTGAAGCCAATCAAATCGCGTGAAAGGAAACGACTCAAATTTCCGTTGAATTTTGTTACCCTTGGTTCTCATTAGAAAACGAGATTATCTCCGTTAGTTTACGTAAAAATGCATCCAGATGAGCGTGACATAAACTACTGAAGAGCATAATAATCAATTGAATACTCGATGAAATGTCATGCAAAAGTTTATCAAGTTGTCGTTCATCATGCTTTTCGTGTGAATTGCACCTATTTCCTTAGCTATTCATCAATGACAGAGGGCAAACAGTAAAAATGACTGCATATGAATGAGATGGGAATGATTAAGGCTTGCTTCAGGATGAGCATACTATCAAAATTCACGCAAATTGACCTGTTTTATCAAATCCCGAAATCCCGGGATTTTTCAAAACCTTAAATCCCGGGATTGGGATCAGAACTGAAATCCCGGGATCTCGTGCAAACCCTAGCCTAAACCATGAAGATATAGCGACTCTTCATATCGCGAACTAGTGATTGAGTAAGGGAACAAAATTTTGGTTCAGTTACGTAACTTTGGTCGGTTATCATCACTGCTGCGGACCCGGTCTTGTATTACCGTCACACCTGTATGAGTTTTACGGGTTGTCCCATTAAAGCACAGTGCTGTATGTGCGATGCAGAAAAGAACGACCGACTTGGTAGTTTGAACGAACTTTGAATAAAACGTGCACTTTCGTTCAAGCATCACAGCCAATGTTGTTCTGCAGTTCCAATCAGTGCAGGGATGATGATGTTTTGCCACATATTTACAACTGTTTTTATCGAACAGGAAGTATTTCAATTGAAAGCAATTCAAACTGAGAATGAGTGAATAAACGTGTTCGCAGCAAATTGTGATCATGCAACGAGAAATAAACCCGCAGTATACACTCAGCGGAGACTGAGTATAGTTTGGGTTCATATCACAAATATATTCAGTTCACCTGAGGTGCTAATAGAACAATTGCATGCTAATACTGGCTGAAATGAATCCATATTGCACAGCATTCACAGAATTGCTCTACAGGTCAACTGCATACTAATAGCAGTTGAAGTGAGTCCATACTGCACGGTGTTGACCTGTTGTGTAGTATCGATCAAATACGTATGGTATTTGTTCAGTTAAGGACGGTGTGGTGTACCGATACGCATACGCCCCCTCCCCTTGAACTGCAGAAGCACCCAGATTTCATTGATCGAGTTCTAAGAATCGTTCATTCAATTATGTAAAATATTATTCCGGTATTCATTTCAAGGTAAGAAGTTTGTTTTGTTATATCGTTGGGAAATATAAAGTGATAGCAGCGATATGACGATGACGACTGCTGGTCCGATGATAACGCTCTCAAATGGCTTGAAAATGCCTCAAGTAGGACTGGGAACATGGATGGTCAGTCCCGTTCTTTTCGAATTATCATACTGTCATTTTTCTGTTAGATGTCGAATTCTAGGAACAGTCTATCAATAAAAGTGTTGATACTCCATCGTATAAATATAACGAAGGATTGGGTCGACTGAAACGACTTTATTCATTTTTCATTGATGACAACGTACTTCGGTTCACGAACAAACTGTTGGAAAGGATTGTTTTCTTAAACAGAGCTCCCACTGCATAGGCGTTCATTTCCCCCAACTCATCTCATCCTCTGATATTATGTTATTGCTGTTCAGCTGAACTTGAAACATGGGTTGGATATTAATGTGAGTGATAAAGAGAGTAATAATGGAAATGAATTAATAACAGGAACTACTTTAAAAGTGATAATAACTAGGCATATCCAAATGAAGTAGCGAATGCGGTCCGATGTGCACTAGATGTCGGTTACCGCCTCATCGATACGGCCACTTGTTATGGAAATGAGAAGGAGATTGGTGATGTTGTGGCTGAATATGTGAAGAGCGGAAAAGTTAAACGCGAAGACTTATTCATCACTACAAAAGTTTGTTGCTTTTCTTGCTGACACACAGTTGACTGGCTTCTTGCAGTGGTCTCCTTTTCAGAGTCAACTGATTAGGCCACATGAAGGGAACCGTGATGATTACAGCAAAAATTGTAATAATTTTGTTTTTCATTGCACACCCTAACAAAAAAATTGCAAAAGCGTTGACATCCTCTTTCGAAACGGAATCCAATTGAAGTCGCCTCCTGCAGTGAGAATGCTTAAAATGAGAAAACTGAATAATAATACTCATTATAATTGCTATAATAGTAATAATGATTCAGTTGTGGTGTACACACAATCGTCCATCAGAAGTGGAGGGTCAAATTCGAGAATCGCTATCGAAATTACAAGTAGATTATATTGATCTTTATTTAGCACACATGCCTGCTACATTTAATGTGAGTTTTTTGGTTGTTAATGTTTTATCAGTTTGATAGTAATAATATCAATTACGATAATAATGCCATATAATTATCGTGAACTTGCTGTGTAATATTGAATGATGTAGCTGGCTATTGCAGCACGATATGACTAAACAGGATCATTCGGTAACACTTGAACAAGTTTGGACGTTAAGTTTCACTTTCTTATTTTTCAATTTCAATTCATCGGTGTTACTGTTATTGTTGTCTTCGTTATTACAATCATTATTATTATTATTGCTGTTATTGTATGGCGCATGATATGTTCTAAGCACTCGCTTGTATAATTGTCCTGTTCTAATAATGAACATGGTAATTATGACTAGTGTTCTGTTGTTTGCAAATACTTGAGTGGTTTTGGTTGGCGGGTGGTGCGCTGAAAAAGTTTGGCTGGTTGTAAATGTGTATATGATTGGTAGAGTGGTTGCAGGGTTTAGAAAGTGTCTATAAAAAGGGTTTAGCGAAAGCGATTGGTCTATCAAATGTGAACGCTGCCCAAGTAGAGCGTATTCAGAAAACAGCCAGTATACCCATTCACAATGTTCAAGTGAGATATTCAATGTTTCATTACGAAAACAATTGATGCTTAACAGTTGAGCAATTAATTCGTTCAGTAAATCTGGTTGCCAATCGAATAGTTGACCTTGCGACGAGAACACTTTGCAATTTGCACTTTCACAATGCATCTTATGAAAATAAATCTTTACTTTATTTTTCATGTAGTCATTCTTTGTATATTCATTTTTAAGTGTGAATGTTATTTGTATTTTCCACAACATGAACTGGTTGATACTTGTCGAAAGCATAACATCTCATTCACCGCATACGCACCAATTGGCTCTCCTGGACGCGTTAATTGGAAACTCCCAAGTGGCGCGTAAGTGTTTACTTTTTATATTGTATTGTATCTAGAAACGAATTAATGTTGAAAAGTTAATTCGTTCGCGAACTGTATTCTTTTGACCTTTTCAGCCACATGGCCAACGCTCTTCTAAAATGTTTTCGAATAGATGCGATTTGATTGCAGCAAATTAGTTTGGGCCGATGCAAAAAATCCATTAGAAAACGATCTGGTCGTGGCTCTTGCCAAAAAATACGACAAAACAAGTGCACAGATACTGCTTCGTAATCTCTTACAGCGTGGCATAGCCATTATACCAAAGAGTACGAATGATAAGCGCATCAAAGAGAACTTCAGTGTTTGTTTTGAATTGTTATTATTTATTATTACCTTACTATATTATTATTATTATCAATATTGTTATATTATTATTAATTCTTATTATAATTTATTATTATTACTATACTTGTCATAGTTCCATTTAGCATTATATAAATTCTTCATTCGACAGTAATTTCGGTTCATTTGATTGCGTCGTTTTAGATATTCGATTTCAAGTTAACTGATGATGAAATGAAGCAGTTAAACGATATCAAACATCGACAACGTCTTTTCTTCCAAGATTTGTATGTTCCGCTTTGTCATTATTATGGTTGTTGTTATCGATATTATTTGAAAAACACATCTATTTTTCAATCATATATTATTTGCTCAGTTATTTGGTGATATTTAATCCTAAATTGAATAAGTTATTTGGTTACATTGCAGCATGGAAGGGCATCCAGAAGATCCGTTCAAAGAAGAACGTCATTAAGGAATTTTAGTACAATATTTAGATTGTTGGTTTAGTTCAGTGCCTGAGGCTGTGAATGTGGTGCACTTATTGTGATGCAATTATTGCTACATTTAGTCTGTTATTTTTTATTGGTTCTCTTTGATATACTTTATTCCATCTTATCTTATCATTAACTCCATTTTTTACTTCTTTTTGTATGGATACACTTTTAATACTGTCATAGCTGCTACTTACTTATTTAATCATAGTGCTCAGTAACTGAAAGAAAACATTCATTCTTCATAGAGTCTTAATGAAATTAGGTATCTTTTATGTATATATAATGAAACGAAGTGCTGTACATCCTCTCATATCCGAATCCTTTCTATGTCCGAACAGTCGAATAAACATTACGGGAAAAGTATATGGCAATTGCAAATAATATGCACAAAAATGTATGCGTATGAATATAAAAAAATTGTGCTTGATAATGTGATGATGAATTATCACTGTGATCATGATGAAGCAATTCTCATACTTGACATTCACAGTGTGCGGTGCAATTTGTAGGGGAACGCGACTGGGATATAGTTAACAAATAACACTTTTGCATCTCATTGTTCCACTGCCATAGAAAACCATGTGTACATGTCTGGCCACAAAATCACCTCACTGCTAAAGGTAAAACGCATCTATGTACCTCGTTGTTTTGCAAATGTTCTAATAGGTTGCTTTTTCATTGATTTTTCACCACTTTAAACGAACCGCAAACGGATACGTAGTCGCTGATCAGACAACGGTAAATCTCGAATTTTAGTCACATAAAAGACGTCTTATCCTGTTCGATAATTCAAGAAAAGTATGGTGTAGGAGAAGCAAAGTTATCTGACATCAACAATGTCCGTGCAGAAATACGACAGTATTTTCAGCGCACTAATGATCAAGGATGTGGTGCCAGTTGTAAAATGAGTGATTATATTGAAAAAAGCTGTATGAGGACATCCACAGATAGTATGGCAACAAAGACAAAATGGTTTAACGATTATTGTTTTGATGTTGCAATGGAAAGCTAGAGTTCTGTAGTTTGCTACATTACGGTTCGACTGAACATATTGATTTTGTTGTTTGTATTGGCTAGCAGTGGAAATTTTGCAAACGACAATATATAAAGATAGAAGTTGCGGACAAGATCGCTTGGTACATAAAGATCGGTCTATTACACACAGCACACGCATCAGCCATCGTATGCATGAAAACGTTGTGCCACAGCTCTCTCCGCATATTAACAACTGCTTTCTCCAATAAGGAGAAGTATGTCAACTGAAATTAATTCAGTTTGAGTAAATAAACGTGATCGCAGCTAATTGTGATCCGTGCAACGAGAAATAAACCAGTGATAAACACTAGGCAACGACTGGGTATGGTTTGGATCCGTAGTATGAACGTAATCAATTCACATGAGATGAAGAACAGGTCAATTGCAAATTTATACTCGCTGAGATGAAGCCAAACTGAAGGGTATTGACCTATCGTGCAGTAGAGGTCAAATGCACACTAATACCAAATGAAATGAAGTCGTGCTGGATAACATTCACGGTCAGTTTAAATATGACGATCCTGATATTCTTAGGATTTCCGGTTTAGGGTAAATCCACTGATCAGCCGAGACAAGGGCTGCAAGTTTTTCACTTTAACATATCTCCTCGTAGAGACAGAATTTCTCGGCAAAATAATGTTCTTTAGAATGCAGAGATTCTACTCAATCGAACGATTCATAAGCATCAATAACTTGAGGAGACGGTAGGCTTGAATGTATCAAACCTACATTTCTATAGTAATGTATCTATTGATCTATTGTGATCAAATGCATATCGATGAGCACCATTGCCCTAGTTGAGATAGTTTTAATTATATCTCCTTAAGAAAGTGAGATCGCCCGACAAAATATATTATTCTGAATGCAGAGGTACTGCTAGATCGATTGGTGTAAAGAAATTGATATGTCAATTCGCAAACTTGAGAATACGATAGGCTTGAATGTATCAAACCTACATTTCTGTAGTAATGTATGATATCTATTGATCTACTGTGATCAAATGCATATCAATGAGCATCATTGCGCTACTTGAGATAGCTTTAATAAAATAGCTATATCTCCTTAAGTAAGCAAAATCGCTCAGCAAAATATATGTTTTTCT